TAAAACCTCAGATAAATAAGCTCGCATAAACCATCCCCACTGAATTTAGAAGGTGTAAAGGCTTATTCATTAATGAATTAATTAGTCTAGTAGTTTTTCGTCTTTGGGTCAAACAAATCAAGAAACAAATAAAAAGTAATTTTTCTTTCTCCATGCTTTTTAAAATTTTGTAAGTATACTGAAAGTAAGAAAACTAAGATTTGTTTACAATTTTTTGCCCTATTGAGGTTTTGTATGGACTTTTTATTTTTCTCACAATTACAAGTTACTGTCTTGCCTAAAAATCAGCCATCCTTTCAAATACATTAAATTAGTGATGACGTAATTTTGGTTCCATTAACAATTACAGTGACACTATTTTAAACTTTTATAAATATATTTCTAGAGTAAGTAATAACATGCATAAAGTATATATACAGTTAGCATCATAAGTCTTACTCCCTCTATCTAACTCGTTACTGGAGTCTTGTTAGGAAAATCGCCGAGACACGTCGATTTTGATTTATACAATGTACATTTTTGTATGAATAGTTTACCCCTAATTTCATCCCTTAGTGGAGGGAAGCAACCCTTTCGAAAAATTTAAATAGCATGGGGTGGTGAGTGATAGCTCATTTGGAAGGAGGTTTTATTCTCTATTCAACCGTGCAAAGGAATTAAAATTTTCTCCATTAATTATCGACTAATTATTGTTTCAGAATAACGAAAATTAACGTAGCGCACGCATCCTTAGAATTAAAATTCGGCCCTGGTTCAGACTTTTTGCCATTATGCTTGGATATTAACTGCACGTTTTTGTTGATGTTTTTGCATTGTTTTGAGGATAAATGGTCAAAACAATAAACTGATATCAAGGAGAGTGCGAGTCAGTGTATTCTAGCTGTAAGTTTTGATAGCTATTCATCTCCATACAATGGATGGACTACGTGAGTTAAATGAGAAATGCGAAGCGATTGTTATTTTTGGTGAGGCTCATCGCAATTATCATGAGGCTGTACGAATGTTCAATGAACGTTTTGCAGATCACCCTATTGATAGACATTATTTCAAACAGTGGACAAATTTTATGAGAACGGCAGTGTGCAAAACAAAAAACGTTCTGGGCGATCAACTACTGGGGAAGATAAAGATAAACAAGTAGACATTATGGCCGAATTTGTGAATAATCCGTCCTCATCGAGTAGATCTGTTGTCTTGAATTGTGAGGTTTCGCAGATGACTGTATTGAGAGTTGTGAAAAAAAAAATAAATGTCATCCTAAAATAAAGATGGTTTATGAACTGACGGAGGATGATCCAGACCGCCGTCTAGAATATTGTAAAATTATATCCAATAATATTTTGCAAAATCCCAGCTATTTGAGACAGATTTGTTTCAGTGATGAGGCTACTTTTTTTTTAAAACAGTCACGTGCATAGACAAAATGTGAGGTACTGGTCTGATGAAAATTCTCGACTTTTTCGCGAAACTGATACTCAGTTTCCACAAAAAAGTTATTGTGTGGGCAGGAATACTGGGTGACTACATTATAGGTCCGTTATTTATTGAGGAAAATTTGACTGATGCCCTCTATTTGGAAATGCTGGAAACAGTGATAGATCCACTGATAGTGTCGAAAATAATGTAGACGAATTTGACATTTAAATTATTTTGAAACAAGATGGAGCTCCTCATTTTGCAGTTGCTGTGAGGAATTATTTGAATAGTTTATACAGGACGATGGATCGGACGCCATGGATATGTGGAATGGCCTCCAAGACCACCAGATCTAACCACTTTAGACTTTTTTCTATAGGGTTACCTAAAATCGAAAGTATACGATACTCAGTGTCACTCTATTCAGGAGTTGCGAGCGCGGATTACGGAAGTGTGTGCAACAATTACTCGTGAAGCTTTGCAAAGCGTCAGGGCTGCCAGGAGGTCAACGAGAAACATTTTGAACATTTATTGTAATAACAGATAAGGCCACTGTTAGTTTAGTTGCTATCCCGTTTGTGATGTTTCGTTATTTTTAAAAATTACTAAATCAACACGTATTGAAACAAATTTCAAAATTTTTTGCACTGTTGAATAGAGAGCACCAGCCCATACCATTTAAATTTTTCAAAAGGGTTGCTCCCTTCCAGTAAAGGATAAAATTAAGGAAAAAACTATTTATACAAAAATGTACATTGTAGAAATCAAAAATCGACGTTTCTCGGCGATTTTCCTAACAAGACTCCAATAACGAGTTAGATAGGGGGGGGGGTAAGACTTATGATGCTCACTGTACATATAATCATTTAGTAACCTTTAAACTACTTTTTATGACCTGTAAACAATATTTTATAAAAACTAAAAATAGGAAAAACGTATATGTAAATTTTTTTTAAAAATTTGGTTGGAATTCAAAGTGGATTCAAAATTACATCACATTTTTATGGCGTATTATTCGATCTCATGACACCCAAGAATGTCACCATAAAATCGCCAATTAATTTTTTGCGATGTTGCCAATTTGTTATCCATATCCGAAACATAAGGATAATATTATTTTATTCGTTGCTGCCATCTTGGAAAGTGCGGATTTTTCAGAATTGTCTTTGAAACTATTACACCGTAGTTAGTAAAATACAAAGATTTGTAAAGAATGTTCACCAATTATATGACTTTTGATTTTATACGAGGAATGTCAAAAATAAGACAGAACGGTGTCATAGGTGTCTAACGCGCTCGCATTCATTTGAGAGCAATTTTGTGATTCGAATTCTGATCCCCGGCTTTTCCTCACCAGCAATTATCTTTAAGTCGCCCCGAAGCGCCACGGCAAAGCTCAGCTTTTGGGGTTAAAATTCACTCGTAAATTAGGGAAATTAGGAAAAGTATTATTATTATGTTTGAAAAGAAAAGTTTTTGTGTGGGTATTATGCATTTTTATCGTATTTTATTTATAAAGGAACACAATTTGTATTTCAGTCTATGAAATAATTGTAGATGAGATGGAAAAGGAAAAAAGTTTTTTCTTTAGCAAAGAGTTTGGAACTATTGGGTGGTAAAAACATGAAAAGTCCCTAAACGTAACTAAGAAAGAAAGAATTCCGTTTTTTTGTTTTCCTTCTATATCTCGAAAAGGAAGGATTGTTGAGAAAAAATTAGTCTTTGCTTAGAAAGCTAATAATTTCCTGTATAAAAAAATATATTTTTTGTTTTTCTTTAGTTTTTGTAACATAAAGGTTTGATTTTTAAATATTTTCTTTTCTTTTTCTTGTTGAATCTTGAATTTTTTTGTTTTTCTCTGGCTTTTTTGTTTCCCTGGTTTTATCGCCTCCTATTAAGAAAATCAAAAGCGAAAGCCTCCCAATGCCATCGAACTTTTAAGTTCTATGACATCGGCATGGAATATACTGTAAGAAGCATGTAATCCTGAAACATTCTAAAGTGCCATTTCCATAACAAAATTAAATGTCAAAGTGACAAATGAACACTCGTCAAAACATGAACTATCTGATGAGAAAGTGAATGGAAGGATAGTAAATTTTTTACAGCTACATGGATATTAGCTTAACTTCGCACGGGCTACAAAACGAAAAAGTATGCTTTATTGCGTTGAACTGAACGACTATATTTTATATCCATTCTAAATGGTGAGAACACTGCAAAAAAATTAAACCCACCAATCATAGTTCATATTTGGGTGACCCGACTACTAATTTACTAATTTACAAACTAAATGGGGTCTATTCTGTAACAATTCCTTTATATTTAACGGCCTTTAAAAATATTTTCTTCATTATTTCTGTCATTATTTAAACGAATCTTTAAAATACATTAGAGGACTATCTTAAAGAAATCTGTTTAAATAATGACAGAAGTAAATTAACCAATACGAAAATGTTTTTAAAGGCCGCCAATATTTTTAAAGGCCGTTAAATATAAAGGAATTGTTACAGAATAGACCCCATTGTCAGTATATTTTTTAGGTATTGAGGTTAAATATACATTAAAATGAGTTATTTTTGAATAGAATCGATAAATAATAGATTTGTATTTTTATTTTGTCTATAATTGAATCGGTGAGTTTGAAAACCGTACATGTCCAAAATCAGCCTTCCGAGAAAAATAATAAAAACCTTTTAGAAAGTCACGAATATGTACGGTTTTTCGCTTAATTTTACGGGTGTAATCAGCTGTACTACGTTAACGGCTAGGTATATAGTACGGTTTTTAAGTTAAATCGATGAAGAGACAAGTTTTAAACAAAATGGCTATGTTCTTTAAAATCTCAAATATTGGACTTGTACGGTTGTCGAACTCACCGATTCAATTATAAATAATTCGTTAATTTTAATAAAACTATGTGAAACTAATTTAATTACTAAAATCGTAAATGTGGCGTCCACCGCGACACGACGTCTGTCTTCCACGCGAGAAATTCGGGTTCAAATCTGGGCTGGGGACTAATTAAATTAAATCTTTTTTATGTTTATTTTATTTTATAAATTAGTATGAGTAATAAATTATTGGTTATTTTGTCTTATTAACCTAAAATAACGTTTTAAATTTGTACATTTTCCTTAGTGGTCGTAGAAATAATAAACTGTACAATTCGAGTGGATTGTCCATATCGCCCTCAGACGATTGAGCACTCCACCTAAGGCGTCGTGTTCAAATATCTTCTTCAGACAAAAAAAATTATAAAAGTCCGGGTACTGTGTGACTGGACAAAAAGCATTAAGAAAATAATGCCCTTTCATAATCCGTACTCAATTATACAGGATATCATTTAAAATGTTGACCTAGGTAGATTTTTAAAAAAAGATAGGTAAATTTCAAAAAACTTAAAGGAAATGGATATATTTTCAGCCTTAGAGAAAAACGCAAAATAAAAATATTTTAGTTACAGGTAAGGAAAACTCCAACCACTAATATTGTTAATTAATACAAATAGTGGCAAAGGGTTAAACTTATCTTGCACATTTTAAACATTCCTACAGCACACCTCGCATGTCAAAAAAACTCACCATTAAGAAACGTTATTCCAAAAATGACCAAAAAGGCCGCGAACTCGGCCTTTAAACACCCCAAACCCATCACGCACTATCAAATTCGGCACACAACTGTTTCCTGTGTTCGTTTTTTTCTGCAATCGTATTAACGTAAAAAGCACCTGTCAACCGAGTAGTTCCTCGACTTCGCTTAGGAAGCAGACGGAGACGGCGAAGAAGAAGCAACGACGACCGACAGCATTGACCGTGGAAGAACAGTTGAAGACTGTCGCGAAACCAGGCCGAACGATTTCTTTGCACCAGAAGACACCTATACCCGTATACCCGTACCCATACCCGTGCTCATGATGATGATGATGGAACCAGTGGCGCATATTCGTCAGTAAAGAAGAAAGTGGGGCCGAATGAAGATTTGAGACTACGAAGAGAAGAAGCTCCGCTATATGCGTTATTGAATTCTTGAGAAATTACTCACGAGGTACGAGGGGAAAGCTGGATTTTTTCGAATACCAATTCTAGAAATGCTTTTCAATCAATTTTAAGACACTCTTGTTGTACAAGGTGATTCTAAATGATGCTGCCAGAATAATACTGTAGAGAGATCTTTAAAAATAAATATAATCTTATCAGTCATAAGTTAAGTAGTTGGTTATAATGCTTTCAAAGAACTTTGGGATTATGCTAATTATAGATATGGGACGGTAGTTTTTTTATGTCAGATTTTTTACCAAAGTTTTCAATAATCAGAAAAACAGTAGTTTTTTAGGCGCAAGAAGGAATGGCATCAGGACCTGGTCCAATTCTTGTATCAAGTTTAGATAACTTCTCTTCTTAAACAGTTGAAATTGGGATATGATATGAGCAAATTAACTTTTGATTAAATATTTATAAAGATAAATAAATAGTCTGATTGGTGTAGAAGAAAAATATTGGGTAAATAAGTTTGCTATTTTCGTGTCTAAGCTAGTTTCAAATCCATCCAAATTCATTGTATGCTGTTAACAAAATTCCAAAAGGACCTAATATTACTTTTATTCAGAGGCGGCTGGGCCCACCGGGAAACTGGGAGATTTCCCGGTGCACCGGTCCTACAATCGACGGTCCTAGCGCTGAAAATCGCCGGTCCTAAAGTCGACAGTCGTCAGTCCCAGCGCCGCAGCAATTTTTTTTTATTTTTAACAATTTAAAGTCTCAAAAGAATTGAAAAAGCCACAATTTATTAAAAAGGGTACTCCACATTTGCCACAACAAGTTGATATTGAATAATTTGGAGAACCTAGAAATATTTAGATTAAGAAAAGTAACAATGCATTATCACTAAACTCACAAGTTTTTTTCCGAATCCACACCCACGTTCTCAGTTCTTTTTTAAAAATCTACGTTTCCCTTAAATTACCCCCCCCCCCCCTTTACTTTAAAATTTTCCCTATGAAATTCTATTAGTTATACTTATCTTATTCCTTATTTTTATTCTCTCTCCTTTTCCATTTTTATTTTTCAGCACATTACTTCAAAAAATAATTAACCAAATCAATAGTTTTTTCTCTCTTTTCATTTTAACACCATTTCCTTTTCCGTTGATTGTTACCAACTTCTTAATTTGAATATTAGTACATCTAAAATTATTTTCCAACGCTAATGCTAGACTCTACTTTTAACAATAATAATTTATTTATTTCATTTTGTTTATTACGTACAAATTCAAACAATTCATTTTATAAACCTATATTATTATTAAGAAACATTTATTTTTTTTCGCCAACGCCATCTATTAGCCGATGGTCAAAATATTTAAATTTGACAACCTCTAAACTGTTATCTTAAATATTAGAATGGTTAATTCGTCTATTTATATCTTGAGGGCGTTAATCAGTATATTTAATCTAAATAAATTTAATTCCTGTAGAATTATAAACACTTGTCCAAGAACCCATTTTAGTGCTTGTAGGGTTTAAAAAGTTTTTAAATTTGTTTGTCTTAATTGTTCGTCCGTTCGTGAAATATTTTAATAATTTTAATTAATAGTTTTAGACCTACTTTTGTTTATGTGTTTTGACATCAACTTTTTGTTGCAACTATTGTTTTTTATAATTTTTTTTATGTGTTTTAAAAAATACTTGCATACTTGTTTTTACACCGACCCTGGGATAATTCTCTTAGCTTAGTCTTAAATAGATGAATAATTACGGGTGAGTTCTTGATATTTGACAACTTTCATATTAAAATGTTTAAACCCACTTTATTAGTTATGAGCTCATTCGTTTTTCCTCTCTATTTTTAGACCTTACCTGATGATGAGGATCTGATCCTCGAAACCGGTCGTAATAAAATACTCTTGTGAGATCCTAAGGACCACCCTTGTTTGATTTACCTTTTTGAACTTATAACTCACACATGGCTACCACCTTCAACTTTAAACAATTTATTAACTAATTTATTAATCTACTTATTATTGTAAGTCTGTAATTCATAAATATAGGTACATGACGAAAGCGTCCATCCCCACAACTATGTAATATTTCATGTCACGTTACATTATTCTGTCATGAGGATATGATGTATCTAATACCTCTGCGTTCGTCTGACTCTGGCGTCTGCCTCTTTTTAATGTTCCAGGATTGCAGGAATAATTGAGAAGAAAAAATAGGCGACGAGAGAGTGTTGCAAAATAAAATATAATATGTTTACTTAATATCTTCTGCTTAATAACATTTCCTTTTCATAATATAAATCTATAGTTAATCAGTTTGTAACTTTGTACCTGATTCGCTATTTTTCGCAATTCTTGACAAACTATCGAGTTTGTGTACAAAGTTACACATTTTCATTGCCAACAGTTTTTTGATGTTATTGCTTAAATTAAAATTATATACATTAGTAATATTGTAATTTGTGGCCGTTGCCAAACGCGACGCCGCAGTCAACGTACATGGAACGTGCTTCCAGAAATGTGTACTAGAATTATGGCAAGAGTTGCAGGAATTGCTCACTGTGCTGCTATTCCATCATTTGTAAATATAATATGTAATAAGAGGCTTACCCAAAGTTGTCATTAGAATATAAATTTTTGCTGACAATTCCGAATATTTCAGAAGTAGCCTGCGAGAGAAGTTTTTTCGAACTGACGTACTTAAAAAAACGGCTAAGGAGTACTCTCGGTCAAAACCGACGACATATAGGTACAAAATGACATATTAAATAAAATGGAAAATGACGACGTCATTGACCGTTTATGGAAGAACCAATATTTCATTCTCAAACAAACTATTATTTTGGCTGCAAAACTTTATAATTTTTTCCATTGGAATCTTCAGTGCGATTTCAGTGTATTTTTACTTTCTTCTTTTCCATATCAATAAACAAGGACACAAATATATTCAATGCGTACTACCAGTGCCAATGGAAAACGTCATTAAATTAGAAGTTTCTTTTTTATTTATATGATATTTGTGTTAACAAAATTAAGAGTTTCTTTTTATATATGCTTACATGTAATAATAATTTATTGTAGGTTCTTTTCTTACCTATGTGTTTTTTTATGTAAAAAAATGGAGTTTGGTTTTTATTTGTTGGTTATTGTAAAATAAACTGTGGTTAATTTAATAATAAAAAAAAATAAAAACAAATGCTTTTTATTTTTTGTCGCTGAATCGGCGTGGCGCCGATTTAATTTAATTCCTACGCCGCGCCGGTCAAAGGGGTCCCGTCCGCCCCTGCTTTTAATAGAGGTTTGAACCCGAGAATACCGATCAAGGAGAAGCGACAGTAGCTGTCGGTGCCTTTGATATCGGATGTACCTTTTTCACAGCATGACTTTGATTGATACACAACTTAGCACGCTGAGAAAACATGCTTATTTTCTACACTGAGCGAAATAGTTTGGCAAATTATCTGAAATTATTGTTATAGTCCATGCGCAAATGTTGCAATGTGATTTAATTACATTAAAGTAGTTAGGGTTAATAGCAATGGTGAAATTTCGCCACCAAAATATAATTCATTATGTAATAATTAATTATTTATTATAAAAGTAAAAGATGTTTATTATTTTATAATTTATCTATAAAATTTGTTCAATATTTGGTTTATTTATTGTTAACAATGTAATAAAAGCCCCATATTTAAATTGAATTACCTTTTCCTTAAGTAAAAATAAGGTAAATAAAATTAAGGGTGCCAAAAAAAATGTAGGTAACAATTAAAAAGACATTAAGTTTGAGAGGTTTAACTAAATATTTGCAATGTGCATATACGGAGTGGCCCAAAAGTCTGGAAACGGCCAATTATCTCGTAAATTGCTAGTCCTAATTGTACAAAATTTGGGGTACACCTATTTTGGATACGGAGATTCTAGATTTGTTATTTGCAATGTTGAAAGATTTGCCGTTTCTCTTATATTATTAGTCACTTTGGTTTTTCAAATTCATCACCCTGTATATTAAGTCATTATTGAAATCTCATATTTAATACGAGTTCAACCATATGTAACACTTGATTTTATGTAGTCTGGAAGGTCTTAAATAAATAAAACAATCATGGAGAAATGTGGTAGATGCATTCTATCATCGATTAGGCTACTGTCAACTCACAAATGGAGAACATTTTGAATACTTGATAAAGTAACCATTATGTTAAAAATAGTGTAATTTTTCAATTGTTACGTTTTAATGTAGTTGAAAATAGTTTGTATTAAAAAATTCATTGAGAAAATTAGGCGTTGCCAGACTTCTGTTTTATTTATTTAAGACATATTTTTAGAATTTCTAGATTTATATTATATTAAAAGGACTTTCAAGTTTATCACTCATTTCTGTAGAAACAAGTGTTTTCTCGCAAAGTTAAACCAGATGTCATTTAAGGTTTATGTATTTAGAGTTAAATACCTGGCCTGGCTATCACCCAGACAATACAAATATGTCCATTGGACGTCCATTCGATATACAATTTTGGATGTCTAGACGTCTAAAAATGAGTTTTTTGGACTTCCGACATCCAATGGACGTCCAGTGAAGTATCCAATTCTGGAATATATTTGGACGTCGAATACTGGAAATTCAAAATACGTCCAGGATTATATTTCCATTGAGACCACATCCCCACTTTTTTTTGCAGAACCGCAACTCACCACACACTATTTTATATTATTAATAATGTGTTTATTATTTTTGCAAACCAC